TTACAACACTCCCCCTCAAGCTGGAGCATATAAATCATATGCACCAAGCTTGTTACATAAGTGATCTATCCTAGGCCCTCTCAAAGACAGTGAAAACATCAGCTAATTGATCAGTTGAGTTAACAAAGCTAGTGACTATATCTCCAGAGAGGACTTTTTCTCTAACAAAATGATAGTCTATCTCAATGTGCTTGGTCCTTTCATGAAACACTGGATTGGAAGCAATATGTAAAGCAGCTTGATTATCGCAAATGACAGATGCTGTGCCAATGTCTCCAAATTTGAGTTCCTTCAATAGTTGTTTTAACCAGATAAGTTCATAGGTAGTTGTGGCCATGGAGTGATATTCTGCTTCAGCACTTGATCTGGCAACTACACTTTGTTTCTTGCTTTTCCAAGAAACCAAGTTACCTCCAAGGAATACACAATACCCAGATGTGGATCTTCTATCACTGGGGGAACCTGCCCAATCAGCATCTGAGTATCCCTCAACTCTGGTATGACCTTTGTTTTTATAGAGGAGACCTTTACCTGGAGCATTCTTGATACTTAAGGATACGGATCACTGCATTCCAATGATCTTCACAAGGAGAATTCAAGAACTGACTTACTACACTGACTGCAAATGAGATGTCTGGTCGAGTAACTGTAAGATAGTTCAGCTTCCCAACCAATCTTCTATACCTTTCTGGATCTGAAAATAGCTCCCCCTGATTTGGCATAAGCTTGACATTTGGATCCATGGGGGTATCGACGGGCTTAGCATTCAACAAAGTTGTCTCCTCTAGAATGTCCATAGCATATTTCCTCTGGGATATCACAATACCATCCTTGGATTGAGCCACTTCAATTCCCAAGAAATATCGTAGTCTTCCGAGATCCTTTGTCTGAAAATGATGACTGAGATGTTGTTTTAACTGAGTAATGCCTTGATGGTCATCACCTGTAATGACAATGTCATCAACATATACAACCAAATAAATAGATCCAGGGTCTGAGTGGCAATAAAAGACTGAGTGATCAGCCGCACTCCGAGTCATACCAAACTGCTGGGCAATGGTGCTAAACCTTTCAAACCAAGCTCGTGGAGACTGTTTGAGACCATACAAAGATTTGCGGAGTCGACAAACTAGACTGGACTCCCCCTGAGCAACAAATCCAGGAGGTTGCTCCATATAAACTTCTTCCGCAAGATCACCATTGAGGAAAGCATTTTTGACATCTAATTGATAAATGGGCCAGTGACGAATAGCAGCCATAGTAATAAAGATGCGAACAGACGCCATTTTTGCCACAGGGGAAAATGTATCCCCCATAATCTTCACCAAACACCTGAGTATATCCCTTGGCCACCAAACGTGCTTTGAGACGATCAACCTGTCCATCAGGACCAACCTTGACAGTAAATATCCATTTACATCCAACAACAGATTTTCCAGAGGGAAGAGGAACCAGATCCCAAGTACCACTGCCATGAAGTGCACACATCTCGTTAATCATAGCCTGTCGCCATCCGGGATGGGATAATGCCTCACCTGTAGTCTTAGGAACAGATACAGAAGACAAAGAAGAAAGACAAGTAAAATGTGATTGAGAAAGGCGATGATAACTCATATTTATTGAATACCTGGGTGGAGGACGAATATTACGAGTACCTTTTCGGAGAGCAATGGGAAGGTCAATGTCGGAAGGCGGGACCGAAACCGCAGGAGTTGATGACGGCAGATCTGAGTCCATAGGAACCTCATCAATGTCTTGGGGTATGGGTGGATGTGACCGACGGTGATAAACTTGGAGAGGAGGATCTGGTGCTGGGACATATGGAGAAGTGATAGTAGGCGGTGGTGGTGTGGAATCTGGTGCAGACGGTGGTGGTGTGGAATCTGGTGCCGGAACATATTGAATTGGAACAGAGGGTAAAGGTAACTGAGTATCAACAGAGTCATCGGGAATGGAGGTGGAGCCAAAAAATGGCACAGACTCAAAGAAAGTAACATCCGCCAAGACAAAAGAGCGACGGAGACTGGGAGAGTAACACCGATAACCTTTTTGTGTCCGGGTGTAATCGAGGAACACACATTTGTGGGATTTGGCAGACAACTTGTCACGATTGGGACCGAGTTCATGGACAAAACAAGTAGAACCAAAAATACGAAGGGGTAAGGAATGTAAAGGCTGATGAGGAAACAAGATAGAGTACGGTACCTGGTTACCAAGGACAGAAGAAGGCATGCGATTAATGAGATAGCATGCAGTGAGAACAGCATCACCCCAAAAACTGGTAGGAACATTCCCATGAATTAAGAGTGTCCGAGCTGTTTCAATAAGATGACGATTTTTTCTTTCAGCAACCCCGTTTTGTTGGGGGGTGTGCACGCATGATGTGTGGTGAAGAATGCCGTGAGATGCCATGAATAATTGAAATGGTTGAGACAGATACTCACGAGCATTATCACTACGAAAAGTGCGGATAGGAATACCAAATTGAGTAAGAATTTCATGATAAAACTTCTGAAATATGGAGAACAACTCAGAGCGGTTTTTCAATAAAAATAACCAAGTGTTTCGAGAATAATCGTCAATAAAGGTAACAAAATATCTATAACCCCGAGTTGATTCAGTACGACTGGGTCCCCAAACATCAGAGTGAACCAAACTAAAAGGAGAGGAGGCACGACGATTGACTCTATTAGGAAAAGAACTGCGAGTATGTTTCCCGAATTGACATGATTCACATTGCAAAGTAGACAGCTTGGACAAACGTGGCACCATCTTCTGGAGCTTTGTAAGACTAGGATGACCCAACTGAGCGTGAATAGTGAGTGGAGAATCTAATACAGAATGAGCATGAGAGGAGCTGGAGAGCAGGTAAAGGCCATTGGACTCAAATCCGCCGCCAATTGTCCTCCCCGAATTTCGATCCTATAAAACAACAGAATTTTGGGTAAAAGAAATGAGACAATAAAGAGAACGTATTAAACGGCTAATGGAAAGGAGATTAAAGGGTGAACCAGGGACATAGAGCACATTTTCAATAGTAATGGAGGGAAAGAGATGTACTATTCCAATCCCACGAGACTGAACCTGGGAACCATTAGCCATAGTGACAGCAGGCAAATAACCAGAGGTAGAAAGAGAGGAAAACAAAGATTTATTACCAGAAATATGATCAGAGGCACCAGAATCAAGAACCCAATGACCAAATGATGAACTTTGAGTGAAACCAGCAACGCTATTACCTGTATGCACAACAGTAGCAGTGGAGCCAGTGATCGTGAGCCGAGAAATATCTTGAGGAAGGATAAATGAGCTAGAATCAGCCATGGATCAAGAACAATTCGTTAAAACAAAGATGTCGTGAACAATAATGGAAAGAGGAGAAATGGTTCGGAAGGGCCGCAACGGACTCAAAAACACAAGGTAAGGATCGATCTGAACACAAAAGGAAAGGGCGATCCTGACGGTGGAAGCCGAGCGTATGTTTCACGCACGTGAGGGTGCTTCAGTGGGAATTTAGGAGCGGGCCTTGGACGAAAAGAACTGCCTCCTTGTGATGATCACAACTGTGGGTGGCTCGTCGGAAAAAGTGCCTGAAAAGTTATCGGTGGTGGCGGTCAACGGCGATAAAACGGTGGTCCACGACGCTCGCAACCTCTGATGACGGTGGGTCTTGCGGCGTTGGGTAGATCGGCTTCTTCTGAGTCCGTTGATGTACTTTTTGATCAAAACGGTCGCCGGAAAATTTTTTCGGTGGAGGACGGTGGTGGCAGACGATGGCTGGAAACTGACGATGGTGACAATTTTCGGAAAGATTTTTACTCGGTAGACAGTGGATCTACCGAAAAGATGCGGATCTTGTTAGGCTCTAGATACCATATTGAATATCAAGAACAAGGAGATTTATAAGTAATCCGTGTGTCTCAACTACACAGCGGAGAGTCTATTATATAACTCAAAAGAAAGAAAATACAAAGAGATATACATGATGTGGGACTTCTATACTACTATTCTAAACTATTATTTACAACAAAACTTAAACTCAATTTCTAGATTTATTAATTCTGAATTTATTTTCTAAAATACTAGAAACCAAAAATAAGTTTACAATTTACAAAAAAAAAAAAAATAAGTTTACAAATTCTGTTTTAATTAAATTACAATATTCTCAAACCAACATTATACGGTCGATCCAACTTTAGTTAAATAGATAAATTAGTGCTTGGTCATCAGTCCTCGTTAGATCGACAATTTTTCTTATCACTTTATTACTTGAGGTCTTCAAATAGTTGTTGAAGTTTTTTTGACAAAAGTAAATCTGTTCCTTAAAAAATTTAACATGTCTCGTCGTCGTCCTCAATTATTTTCTCAATGACTAAAATTTGATGTTCTTAAGGTATTAATTTACACTATGATAAGAACCCATTTGAAGTGACTCAAAACAATGGAGGATTATGAGACATTTATCAGAAGATGTTGTTTCATTTTAAGGTTTGGTAATGAAATAATTTAGAAAAAGTAAAAAATTGCTTCATTGATAAGTCAATAAATCAGCAATGAAGTAACATGAGTAAAAATGAAATGCAAGACTTTTTATCGAGACAGTTGATCCTAGTAATCAAGCCAACTTTCACCTGTGAGTTGAATTTCTTGAACAATAACTTTACTTTCCTTTATATTTTTGAACATATAATTTTTTTTTTTTTTGCAGATTATTATTCATTTTTAAATATAAAAAAGTATTATAAGTTTATTAAATTAAATTAAATCGACTATATTGGCACGTTCTTTCATATTTCTCACCAACCAACAGCAACCTGAAGTTTTCAATTGGTTATACCACCCAAGAAATTAACTGATAGAACGTATACATGGCTTGTTAGACTTAACAAATGATATGGTAGATCAACTTCACTGTCCCCGTCTATAATAACCATCCCTCAACCTAAAGCCATGTGCATCATCATCACTTATTTCTCACTCTGGTAAGTGTTTGCACAATAATGGCCTCAGAAAATGGAGATAAAGTAGAGCTTGGTTTCAATATTGTTGTTCCTGAAACAAAGCCAAACAAGGATTGGGTCCTTTTGTCCCTTAGGGTGGTAGCATTTTTTGCCACTGCATCTGCAACACTTGTGATGGCACTCAACAAAGAGACCAAAAGCTTAATAGTTGCCACTATTGGTAGCACCCCAGTAACAGCTACTCTTAATGCAAAGTTTAACCAATCTCCAGCTTTTGTGTAAGTTTTTAATTATTAATCTACGATTTTATTTTCCTTTCTTTTTGTATCTGACGTTTTAATTAGCATTGCATATTACACATTTATATTATAGCATTATTGGTGGTGATACAGGTTCTTTGTGATAGCCAATGGAAATGCAAGTATCCATAACTTGATGATGATAGCAGTGGATATATTAGTACCCCAATATGATTACAAAGGACTCCGGTTTGCATTGATTGCAATATTAGACATGGTAAGGAATTATACATATATAGAGATAGGTTATTCTCGCATCAGTATAAGGATATGAAATTTTATATTCATTCATGACCATTGAGCCACTTAAATCTAATGATTTATATAACTAAAAAACTTGAACAGTTAAATATAAGTGTGAGATCAACTGATCAAAATTAAAAGTGTAAATCACATTAGTGTTAAATAATCCTAACCCCTATATATATAGACCGAATCTTCTTACATCAGTGTAAGAATTATATATTTTATTTTTATTTACGTACCATAACCATCAATTCAGCAAAGAGTTTCCTATTTAACTTACTATAATATGTATATGAAAACTGATTGATTGTACTTTTGGGGGAAGATGACTATGGCTCTGGCATCGGCTGGAGATGGTGCGGCAACATTCATTTCAGAATTGGGAAGGAATGGTAATTCGCATGCAAGGTGGGATAAGATATGTGACAAATTCGAAACCTATTGCAACCGAGGTGGTGCTGCCCTCATTACCTCTTTCATTGGCTTCATTCTTCTCTTGATTATTACAGTGATGTCCATAATCAAGTTGCTCAAGCCAAATCGTATTAACCATGCTCCTTGATTGGAATACATCATTATACGAAGAATAGTGTTCTGTTTTTTCTTGGTCATACTCTTTTCTATGTTGACTTTCCTGTTTGAATGTCAGTGTTTGATATATGTAACTAGTTGTACCTGTAACACAATTTAATAAAGATTTGGACTGCATACAACTTTTTCCTTTGTATCCTTGTTAGTATAAAAAATAAATATATTTTGACAGCTTGTAGCGAGAAAATATTTGGATACTTTCAAAGAAATGTATTGATGACTTTAATTAGTGAGAACTTCAAAGATAAAATGATTTTTATAGTCATGAAAATTGATAGTGGGAAACTATGAGTAGATTTTGATAGCCTCTACAATTGAAGACTTGAGGAAAGAAGTTAGAGGATTTGATAGGGCATTATATTGTTAGATTAAGTAGACATGGTGGATGAGCTTATTAACATAACCACAAGTATATATATATATATATACCTTACACCAGTGTAAGAGTAATAACAGTTACACTCAATCTTAACCGTTGATTTTCGTCCATCAAACGACTGTAATTAATTACATTATTCTCATTAATTAATTATTAATTATAACCGTTAGATATGCAAAAATCAACGGTCAAGATTGAGTGTAAGAGTTATTACTCTTACACCGGTGTAAGAAGATCCCGCCCCATATATATATAGAGAGAGAGAGAGAGAGGTAGGATTCTTTGAAACCGGTGTCACATGCTTGCAAATCAATGGTGTCACATGCTTGCAAATCAGAGTCGTTGATCTTTTTTGATCTAAGGGCTCTCAGATGAGGTGTCAGAATTGAAATTTGACACCGGTGTCAAAGGATCCTACCTCATATATATATATATAGGGTCAGGATCATTTTACACCAGTGTAAGTTACACTCTCATTCTTGTCCATTGATCTCATTTATATCTAAGGGCTCTAAATTTTTAGTAATGTGAGTCATTGGATACAAGTGGATCAATATATATAGCAAAATGATTTGTGCAGCCGCTGTACATACAACAAGTCAGGATACGGAATCAGATCCTGTTTTTTTTTTAAAAAGCTGTGGGGCCCACTTTTCTATGTCAGCTGCAGATAACACTCTCTACGGCGACTGCAGAAAAAGTATCCCATATATATATATATATATATATATATAAGGTTTTATAAGAGTTATGTTGTAGGAAAAGTGATTGTGTAATGTTATAGAGATTCATTTTGCGTGCCTTAGTTTTTTTTTTTTTGCTTCAAAAAGTGCGGGTCTCACAAAATGTTGTGTGTGTAGAAATTTTTTTTGTATCATATGATATGATAGATGCAAATCCCATATATATATATGTGTGTGTATGGAAATAGATCTGTCCTATTACAGGACCAAATTCGTGTCATGTAATAGAAACAAGTTTCGTGGGACCCATCAATTTGTAAAAGAAAAAGATGCAGCCCTATTTTTAATATTAGAGTAGGATGAAAAGATTTGGTCATGCAACAGGACAAATCTATTTCCCATACATATATATATATATATATATATATATATATATATATATATATATATATATATATATATGGTTATATTGATAACTTTTTATTTTACAAATTTACAAATTACACTATATCTGACCTATAATACTCTACTCAAGAGTGTATTATCGGTCAAACATAGTATAGTTTGTAAACAAAAAGTTTGTAAATATAACCTTATATATATATATATATATGCGATTTACTTTTCTCCGGCCGCTAGACGTCCAATAAATAAATTCAGAAAATCATAATTATACAAAGGAAGGTGAAAGCATTAAATGCGGGAAATCATAATCAATCAACGGTGTAAGATTTCTTGCTAGGCGTCCAGTAGTCGGAGAAATAATTTTACCTATATATATATAGGGATTTGCATTTGTTATTTAACATGACACAACAAACTTTCCTACACACACAACATTTTGTGGGACCCACATTTTTTGAAGAAAAAACTACGACACGCAAAACGAATCTCTATAACATTACACAATCACTTTTTCTACAACATAACTCTTATAAAACCCATATATATATATATATATATATATATATATATATATAATTTTATCTATATATATATATGGTTTATTGTACATTATGTCATTGGATCGTTCTATCACCCAAAATTACGTTGTTTTGGATATTTATTTCTCTTATTTAATTAATCAGAAATGGATATTATATTTCTCTCTCTTCCTTTATCATCAATGATTCATCTTTGTATGATTATAATTTTCTTGACTGAACAACTCCTTATATCTGGTGACTGGACACCAGACGGACACACACACACATATAGGGACAGGATCGTTTGACACTGGTGTCAAAAGAAAAGTTTGATACCTCATCTGAAAGTCGTTGATCTTGTTTTGATATAACGACTCTGATTTGTAAGCATGTGACACCGTTAATCAGCCTTGATCTAACGGCTCTCAGATGATGTGTCAATTTTTTTGTTTGACATCGGTGCCAAAGGATCTTGCCCCATATGTATGTATATATTTATGTATGTATATATGAGGTAGGATCCTTTGACACCAGTGTAAAGTTTAAAATTTGACAACTCATTTGAGAGCCATTAGATCAAAAAAGATCAATGACTCTGATTTGTAAGCATGTGACACCATTGATCTTTTTTGATCTAGCGGCTCTCAGATGAGGTGTCAAACTTTAAATTTGACACCGGTGTAAAAGGATCCTATCCATATATATATATATATATATATATGTATATATATATATATATCTTTTAACTCTGGCGTAAGAATTAGAAGTCCTACTTCCCTTCTCTGCCGTTGATTTCCATCCATTTAACTGTTATAGTTTATTCAAAATTAATTAATTGATATAAGTCAATAAACTAGGCTTTTTCACCCTTTTGCCCCTCATTAATTAATTAATAATCATTTTGTCCATGATTCGAAATTATCTACCAATCTGCCCTTCTTTAATCGACTACCTTGCATTTTTAATCGATTAAATGGTCAAAACAGGCAAAAATAGTTGTTGGGAGATTTAATCGACTAAATCTCCCTATTTAATCGATTAAATCTCCCAACAGGCAACAAAGGAAAACAAGTCAGTATGATTTTTTAATCGATTAAGTAGGGAGATTTAGTCGATTAAATCTCCCAATAACCATTTAATCGATTAAAAATGCAAGTTAATCGATTAAAGAGGGGCAGATTGATGGATAGTTTTGAATCAGGGGCAAAATGGTTATTAATTAATTAATGGGGGGCAAAATGGTCAAATAGCCCAATAAACTATCATCTTTAAATAGACAAAAATTAACGGCTGAGATGGGGATGTAAGACTTCTAAACCTTACATCGAAGTCAAAAGATCCCTTCCATATATATATATATATATATATATATATATATATATGAGGTAGAATTATCTTATACTTGTGTAAGAATAATAAATCTTACACTAAATCTTAATCGTTAATTTTTGTGCATTTAATGATTAAGATTTAATGGATCAAACTTATTAATTAATTATTGGGAAAAATGTTCATCATTTTAAATGACATAAAGTTATGTCATTTTAAGAGAGAGAGAAACACAGAAATTTTTTTATTTAAATTTTAAATTAAAACAACACCCACTTCTCTCTCCCATGATTTCCATTTTTCTGTGTCTATCTCTCTCCTAAAATGACATAACTTATGTCATTTAAAATGACAAACACCAAACACTTAATTATTATATATAATATAGGTTATATTTACAAATTTTTGTTTACAAATTATACTATATATTTCCAGGAATACATAGTTGGCTTTGGAAAAAAAAAGTTTGTAAATATATATATATATATATATATATATATAAGGAGATGATCAACTTACATCAGTGTAAGAATAACATGTCCGATATATTATGACCCAAAAAATCTTAACCGTTAAATGCACAAAAATCAACGATTAAGATGTAAGACATATTATTCTTACACCAGTGTAAGAATAACATGCCCTATACATTATGACTCAATAAATCTTAATCGTTAGATGCATGAAAATCAACGGGTAAGATTTAAGACTTGTTATTCTTACACCGGTGTAAGAATAACAAGTCTTTATATCATGTGACTTGTTAAGATTAAGATTTAAGACTTGTTAATCATATATAAGTCTTAAATCTTAACCGTTGATTTCTGTGCATCTAACGGTTAAGATTTATTGGGTCATAATGTATAGGGCATGTTATTCTTACATCGGTGTAAGAATAATAAGTCTTACACCAAATCTTAACAATTGATTTTTGTGTATCTTATGGTTGTAATTTATTGGGTCATGCTTATTAACTAATTATTAATTTTCAATAAATTATAATAGTTAAATACATAAAAATCAACGATTAAGATTTGATGTAAAACTTATTTTTCTTATATATATACAGGGAAAATATTTGTCATTTTAAAGGAAACAACTTTGTATCATTTTAGATGAAACAAAGTTGTTTTGGTGTATAATTGATGAATTTTTACATCCTCTCTATTGTATTTTCTCGCTCTTCCTAATTTTATGGAGAATGGAGAATGTGAAAAATCATCAAATATGCACCAAAATGACGTTGTTCAATATAAAAAGACACAAAGTAGTGTCCTTTAAAATGACAAACGTTTTCTCCATATATATATATATATTGGCAAAATGATTTGTTATGTGACTACATATGAGCATTGGTGCAGTCACCTAAAAACTACGTCATTTTAGGTCGGATAAAGGAAGTTCGCGTTCAAAATTAATTGTAGAAAATGAAAATATTATATTTATTTTCACCTTTGTATGATTATGATTCCTCATATTTAATGTTTTATATTTATTTTCACCTTTGTCTGGTTTACCACAAAATTTGTAGGGGAAAGTCATTTTAATGACAAACTATATAATCAATAGAGTACTCCACAAAAAGACAATGAACATCCCCTATGAAATATGAAATGGTAGAAAGCCTGCTTTGAGTTGTCTTAAAGTGTAGGGG